AAAACACGGAACGGTCCGATATTAGGAAGTGCAGCATTATGCGTTGCAGAATTATGTAGCTGTTTACGTACTTCTGCTATACAATCATTAAACAAATTTGTACCTGCTCTTATTAATTTAATAGAAACTTATTGCCACGAAGAAATACCCGATGTAGTTACGATCAGTATCATTAGTGCCTTCCAGAAGATCGTGGAATCGGTTGGAAATTTCTTATCACTTTACTTGGATCAAATTTTGTACGAGTTAACTCGATTGAATTCGTTTTACACAGATACAGATCATCCTAAGATTGGTGTAGTGGTCTCTCGTTTAAAATTGACTACACAAAAATTAGCAAGCTATGTACCCTTGCGCGTCTTGTTACCAGCTATTAATAAGACATATGATAAATTATACAAAAAAAAATCTTACAAATGTATACCACCACTTTTAAACATACTTTCTGAATCATTTGTTTCAATACCAAACGCAGATTTAACTGCAGCTATACCAGATCTGACAAACTTTTTCTTAAAAGTATTTCAATTTCGTGAGGATATAGTTTCTAATCAAGAAGACCATATAGAAATTAACGAAGTAGATCTATTTAAAGATATTCAGATTGTTGAAGAGAATGCTGGTAAAGCTTTGGTATCGTTAGTTTTGAAATTAAGTGAGGCTACTTTCAGACCTCTCTATTATAGATTTTATGATTGGGCAGCAAGAAATCTAGATCATAAAGAACGAAACATTACATTCTTCAGGTATGTTTAAATAATTTTATTTATTTTAACGACTGGATTTAATTAATCAATTAATAATCCATTGTTTTTTCTTATGTTCTTTTTTCTTTTTTAGACTTTCAGCTAACATAGCAGAATGTTTGAAATCATTATTCGTCTTATTTGCTGGTCATTTCTTGCAACATGCAGCATATTTATTAACCAACAACAATCAGTATGTTTCCCAAGAATCTAACGAATATACTCTAAGTGAAGAGTCTAATAGGATCGAATTGGTGGAATCAATATTATTAACGCTCCATCGTGTGTTTTCTTTCGATGCTAATAATTTTGTTAATCAAGAACGATTCGATGCATTGGCTCAACCGATCGTTGATCAATTAGAAAATACTATGGGTACAAAGGAAGAATATATTAAACGTGCAAACGATTTGATAGTACCTTGCATAGCTTCCTTCGCGAATGCTATACCAGACGATTCGTTGCATAAACTATTGGTTTATCAAACTTTATTAAAAACTAGACACGCCAAAGCATATGTCAGAAGTGCTGCTTTGAATGCTCTGGTGAGATCAATATTTCAAATAAATATTCGTTTTGTTATTAATTTTTTGTTTCTTAAGCACATCTCTTGAATTTCATTTGTGTTTCATTTTACTTTACGTATTAATGGATAAAAGTCTTATTATTTTCTTTCATGTTTTTGCAGATTGAAATCGCTCGAAAATTAGGAGAAGATTTTATGCCTTTATTACCGGAAACTGTACCTTTCTTAGCAGAGATGTTAGAAGATGAGGACGAAGCTACCGAAAAATGTGCACAAAATGCAGTCAGAACTTTGGAAGAAATTTTAGGAGAACCATTACAAAAATATTTCTAATTGCAATTTATCTTGTTGATCCCGTCTAATCATCATTCTTTATTCCAAGAGGCTTAAAGTCTGTTTACGAGACATAAAATTGATGCATTATTTCTGTATCAACTTGAAAAAACAATTAAAATGTAAATAGGTAGAATGTAAATATTTGTATATTTATTACTTAATACATATAAGAGAATGTAGACGTTTTTACATTTAATATTTTATATTTAATTGCAATATATGAATTGTTACTATTTCATGCCTGTTCGCTTGATTTAGATACATAAATAAAAGAAAAGGTTTTTAGTTTTCTTTAATCTAAATTTAGTAAAGACCAGTTCTGTTCAGATGTGTTGGTTTTGAAAAATGTGTATACCTATATATAATATGTAAACATTTCTTTTAAAAATTATTAATTGAATTAGCAAAATGATATAAAAGCGATTGAAATACCTAAGAAACGATGAGACTGATCCTTGTTTATTAATAAATTCTAATGCAAATATATGTCATATCTGTACTTAAGAAGAAAGTAAATGTTTTTTGTATGTTATTCTGTATAGGAGCTTACTTAACAACCACTTGCGAGAAAGTTCGTAAATTTTATATTTTGTCTGTAGATGTCGTTTAAGTCGCCAACTTTTTAAACATAATGGTGGTAAAGAGTTAATATTTAATTTATCTTTTAATCATAATCATTAAATGTGTGTGATCATACATAAGATAAAATATTTGTAAAGGTACAAAGAAATCGTTCTTGAATTTTGTATTCCCACTTAATTAAAACATCAGAAATCTAGAAAAAAATATAAACTACTAACTCTTGGATATAAAACTATTCATTATTTTTGTTGACCAACGTGATTACAATTTAAATTGTGTTGTGAATAAATAAAAAAGTTTACTCGTGTTGTCACCTGCACTAAATCTATTTTATATATTAATTCTCTATTATAATTGTCATACTTCTCTTTTTTTGCTCTCATAAGTCTTATATAAAATGTTACTTCAACAATTTTGGTAATTATTATAAACATCAATTGTCGAAATAAATAATTTATATGTTAACACAATAATTTTTAATGAAATTATAAACAATGGAGAATATGGTTGACGATATTATGTGTATTATTAACAAATGTCACCCTATTGAATCGACGAAATTAAAAAGACAATCCAAAGAAATAGTTTCAAGTAATTCATCTTTAAATGCAATACAGAATGATATTGAACAATTATTTGCAAACAAATCATTCATCGCAGGTGGTGTTGAATATAGTAATTTAAATAAAATGATGGCATGTTGTAATTTGAAGGTATTTTTATTTTATAATATAGAAATTTTGTTGCACGATTATTAATTTGTGTATTTAATATATAATATTTGATTAAGATTGTTTGTTTACAAAAGCTCTTTTTTCGTATAGGCTGGGGAAGAAGTCAAAGCTGTATATAATCTTGCTGAATCTCACGCAATATTTCTTCGACGACAAATTCTGCATAGGCATTTAAAAACTAAAATGCGTGAAAAAGTTTTAGAAACACCTCAAGTATATGGGCTCAAATCTGAATATATTAAACTTCATGCCCAAAATCCAAAACCCGAAGCAACTTTATTATCTAATCTTGTAAATCTTCCAAAAGGTATGATATACCTTTTTACTAATAAGTATATTATTGTTTTTATTATCTATTTACTTTTCCTCTATTTTCAGAATGGTATATCGTACAAGTTACAGCACAATACGAAGATTCTTTGTATTTACATTACAACAAAGATACTTGTAATTCTATAAATGCCCTACACATTAGTATACTTCCAACTGAAAATAGCGTTATAAAACCACTATGTATAACTTTATCAAAACCGCGATCGCATACAAAGTATGATGTATGTAACGAAATTCAAGAAATTTTGGATAAAAATAGATCAGATTTAACAGCAAAATATGCAAATAAAGATTTATACTGGAAAATGCGTCTAAGGCAAGACAATAAAATGAAGGTATTTGGATTATCAAAAATATAGTTTGTTAGATAGTAGATATAGTTATTATTTTAAAAGATTCACAAATCTTAAATATATTTGTTTATTTAAGACGGCAGTTCATGAATTTGAATTTTCATGGTTGCGTGAATGGAGAATACTTTTTATGGCAGACTTCATCGATAACATGGATGTAGCAGCAGAAATGGAATCAATAGTTGATAAATTAATAACTGATTGTTTATCTTGGTAAATTATCTTGACAATAATAATCAAAATTTATTTCATGTTTTATTTTTAATTATTTTTATAGATAACGATTTATATTCTATAGTAATGATCTATGCCCTCGTACTAAATGGCTGTTAAAAAAGATAAGCTTGGGTGCATGTTTTTTAACAAGAGAAGAAATAGCACGAGCTATTAAATATATTCTTAACAATCAAGAAAAACTGGCAGAAAACTTGATACTTTCAATTTATGGAAAATTATCAAACCTACAGATATTACGAACTGCTAAGAGAAAAACTTTAGTTTTGATCATAGATGAAGTAAATGCATAGTCTTTAACACTTCATAAAAGTTTTGGAGTTTGTTAATTTCTTTTTTTAATGTATACATTTTTTATTTTTAGTATTTAGATTTTTTGCCATTTGAATCTCTAGAAATTCTCAAAAATAATCCTGTTACACGATTTTCCTCCATCTATGTTGCATATACATTATTTAAACAACATGAAAATACAATGAAGGATGGATGTAAAATAGTCAAAATGAAAGAGAATCTTGGCACATGTATAGTTAACCCTAGTGGCGATTTACTTAAAATGGAAAAACGTTTGGAATTGTTTATAAATTATTGGTTAACGAATTGGAAAAGCTTATACAATAAAAAGCCAGGAGAAGAAATGTTTGAAGATGCATTAGTTAATTATGATATACTTATGTAAGGATTGCATTTATTTATTAATTTTCAGATAACTAATTTTAAAAGTTTCATAAACCTGTTTTTATTTAAAGGTACAATGGTCATGGAAGTGGTATACAATATTTACCTGGAGAACGTATAGAAAAACTCAAGGTAAAGGCAATCGTGTTACTCTTTGGATGTAATAGTATCCGAATGGCCTCTGTAGGTGGACCCTTTCCTCCTTATGGTATTACCAACCAATATTTGATTGCCAGCAGGTAAATTAGTACTATTTAGAATATATGTAAAGGATACATACATAAACATAATATCATAAAATATTTTCGTATTGACTTTCATACTTTAATATTTTAAGCCCATGTGTTTTGGGCATGCAATGGGAAATAACAGATAGCGACATTGATAAGATGACAGCAAGTTTTATTAGTACTTGGATTCCATCTTCTCCCGGACGATCATGGTCTCACGTAGATATTGATGCTTGGTGCAAAGGCAATTTTAGTTAGTATATAAAATTTATTGCATATTTACATTACAGAGAAGATATCATACATTTACAAAATTAGATTAAAAATTAAACTAGATTTGCGCTTTGGATAAAGTTTAAGAAATATACAATATATATATATATTTTTAGAAAATAGAAAGAAACTTACTTTTTTTTTTCTATTTTAAAAAGATAAAAAACTTTTAGCCAAATCGAAAGGAGTCGGGGTCAAAAGTGGTCGATTTGGTATAGAATGCCCCATATATATATATATATTAGTACTATATCAATTTTTATGTTACTTATAATAATATTTGTATATATTACCAGGATTTCTAAAAGATAGTCAAAGAAACACAACTAATATAACAACGGAACCTGAGATGTTGAGAGCAATATCAAAATCAAAGGAAGCATGTTCGCTATACATGACAGCAGCTTCAATAGTTACACGTGGTTTACCGATAAAGCTTGAATAAATGTATTATATACATAAATAATCCTGCTGTCAATATATGTATGCACTTTTATTACATTTACTTGTGATGTTTCTTATTCGATTTTCTTTTAATTTGCAAAACTTTTAAAAAAGTAGAAAGTCTTAAAGTAGAGAAGATATTTCATGTATTATTTTATCACTTATTGTCTAGAAAAACCATTATCTCAAGTCCATTTTTCTCACATGATTATTTGTGGTTCTGGCACAGAACTCGAAATATTTTTATGCGGTAATACTTGACCGCCATTGATATAAAGCTCGTCTTTAACTATTACATCTTCTCCGAGAACTGTTGTACCTTCCATTCGTACCCAACGACCAACGACACTACGCCAACCAATGATGCAACTATTCAATAAAAGGTAAAAAATAAAATTAAAAAATCTTATTGTTTTTCTTTACGTTTTATACTCACCCATCAAGCCATGCATGCTCTTTTATTACAGCTGCTTTAAGAAGAGTAGACCTTTTAATACAACAACCATCGGCTAACGAAACACCAGGACCGATTGTAACATTAGGACCAATTCTACAATCTTTGCCAATTTTAGCTGTAGGATCTATTAAAACATTTCCCACTATTCCAGGTCCGGAATGTAATTTTTCAGGAGACTTTTGTCTTAATGAAGCAAGATACATACACATACCTATATAAAATATATATAGTGTATATTATATATACGATATGTTTATTTTAGGAGTTTAGCCTATTTTCTTACAGATCTAACATCAAATGTACCTTTGAGAAAATCTTTAGGTTGTCCGACATCCATCCAAAAACCTGGTAATTCCATTGCATATAATTCATTATCTTCAGCCATAAATGGAAAAACCTCTTTTTCTATGCTCATAGGTTTTAGCTCTATTCTTTTTAATATGCTTGGATTAAATATGTACATACCTATGAGAAAAAATATGTGTCACACAAATAACACAACAAAATTATTGTTTTCATTTGAATGATATGATCAGTAATTTTGTAGTTATATGTTGTTGCATTATTGTACCTGCATTTATTTTATTTGAGATGAATTCTTGGGGTTTTTCGATGAAACTTTCAATTTTACCGGTTTTGTCAAATACAACTACGCCATATTTTGATGGTTCTTCTACTTTAGTAACAACTATAGTACCTTCTTTACCATGACTTTTATGAAATTCATATAACTGTTTAAATGGAAAATCACAAATAATATCGGAATTTAAAACAAAAAATGGTTCATCTCCAGAACATAATATATCACGTGCTAGAGCAAGTGGACCGGCAGTACCCAAAGGTTCTGGTTCATGGGAAAATATTAAAGTAACTCCTAGTTTCTTAGCTTCTTCTTCTAAATCTTTTTCCATTTCCTCTGCTCTATAAGATACAGCTAATATTACTTCTGTTACATTCATTGCTACCTAAAGAAAAAGAAAAAGAATATTATTTCTTGTTTTCTCATCGTTTAGCAATATAACATTATACAACAATTAGAGATCATTAAAAATACAATAAACTTACTAAAGCTTCTATCTGATGTAAAAGCATTGGTTTGTTAGCAAATTCAACCAAAGGTTTAGGTCGTGTAAGAGTAAGAGGACGCAATCTGGTTCCATATCCACCAACAAGTATTAAGGCTCGCATAACTTCTATTTTCATTCTTTTCGGATGCATGAGTATATCCAGAACAAGATACTAATATCAAATGTCTTTGATATCGTATCTTCCTTTCTAATATCTTTATAACGGTACCAACTCGATTAAGATTTATTTGATAAATATCTTTCTCTATAAATAAGAAAATAAATGTTATTAACAAATTATAATACTGTAATTTAATATTTAAAACTTAAAATCAATTGTGGTATATTAAAGCATAGTATATTACATGACATAAATAACATCTATATTTTATTTAATGATTTTCATCATTTCTTTTAATATTCAAATAAATAAATTACTTATTTATACTAAGCTATCAAAATAATATTAATACGAAAATATTAACATGGTTAGGTCTCATGTATTATTAATCATATATTTGAAATATGAATGAACATATATGCATATAGATACACATACAAATAAAATTTGTTTTGACTTTATTAACAAAATAATATGTAGAATACGCACGTACCTGTATTATGCACTTAAAATAATGAAGAAAAAGAAATGGAAATATTTATCGCTGATAAGCATTGCCACGTAACATTAAATTGCAGAAGTAGTTCGTGTATGTAAACACGTATTCAGTCTATACATTGACATATTCACCTAGAGTCATCTTTTTCCTCATCGTAAGAGGAATGAACTTTTTTATACTTTTTTCTACTCATTAGATTTGTGCGTTATTATTAATGTTTTTAATTGTTAAATTAAAAACAAGATTAATCGTCAATGTGAATATATATAGGTCTCTAAGCCAACACGTATATTCTGCCTCTTCATAGTTGACTTTTTATCTAACTGAATTAGTATATATTGGGCAATATTTATTAGACTGATGGTGACATAAATAGTTACGGTTTAAAATATAATAATAAGTTACTATTCTTGCATACGGTTAAATTTAAAAGTCCAATTATCTTGAATCTGATTGTCTTCTTTTTACATCTAGTTATATTTCTAAATAACAATCATGATTGGTCTTTGTGACCAGGGGCGACTCATGCATAGACATTACAAAATTACAGCATCCGCAATATTTTTGCACGTTTAATTTGTATTAAATTTTAACCATAATTTTGATATTTTATTTAAATATACGTGTACACTGTATTTAAAGCGTATATATATATATTTTAAAAATGTAAAAACCCCATGATTTTAAATCACGAATCTCCACTGGTTGTAACTGACTGTTATCCGTAGAATATATACATTTAATCATGTGTGTTTTTGTAAATCTTGACAATTATTAACTCCATGAACTTTCTCCTTCTTTTGAATTTAAATATTACGTTGTGTGTGATTTTACGTTGACTTTATGTACATTTTATTATTTGCACTTCACGCGATGAGCCTAAATCAAAATTCTTTTCTTGACATAATCCCCACACACACACAACGGTGCTTTTAATTCATAATTCTTTTTTGTTTACATAACCTCATACGGTGAGTCTAATTAACAATTCTTTTCTTTAAATTATCTCCAATGGTGAGTATTACTTACAATCTTATTCTTTACATTAACAACTATTTTGACTCTTACAGCATGTGATATTCATTATTGAAATGCATAGAATTAAGTATACTAATTGAAATTGACATACAACTGACTTATACATATGACCGGTAAAAATAGAAAAAAAATATTTTGTTGAACAAAAATATCAGTATTGACAAGATATTCAGTCTTATTATAAAGAATATAATGTGAAAGTTTGCGCTATAAATATTACAGATTAAAATAACATTAATCATATACATTTATGTTACGGCAGTAATGCTTGTACGAATCTGTTATCATTTTATTAGATGAAAGAATAAGATATATACTATATTTTAATCTATTATGCCGTTAGTATGTATGAACAATATATATATATATATGAAAGAATTAAAGAAATGAAAATATAATTACAATTTTCAATTAATATTTACAGCTTTTGATGTACCAATAATATTTATTGAATAATATAATAATCAAGAAAGATGCAAAAGTTTAAGCAAGCTCAAGTAGAAAATAAAATGTCTATTAGAAGACATTTAGAAGCGAATGCTTCTCTTGATTCGTCTAGCGAAGACGAAGACAATATTTGTGAGGAAGATATACAAAGGACGTTAGGTGAAGTTTTATCAGCCTATAATGGTGAACAATTAAACACAGAAAAGATTATGTCGTATTTGATAAACGTTTTTCAATCTGGTGGTGCTATCTGTTTAATATGTATTTCAACAGTAAAAAGAGCAGATCCCGTATGTATTTCACTATTAATTTATATGTATATGTTTGTATATTTTGATGAATATTATTATATCTTTAACAGATATGGAACTGCAATAAATGTTATTCTTTTATGCATTTGACGTGTATCCTACATTGGATTCGAGATACTCTAGCCCATAAACATGAACAAGGAATTATGCCAACTTGGACGTGGTGAGTTGTATTATTATATTATGTATTTAATAGTTTATTTAGCGCTGAATAATAGAAGTTGATGCTTGTTAACAACCGTTCCATTGTTACTGAAAATCCGATGCATCCTTAAATAAAATATTTTATATCTTAATTGTAAAGTAAATATGTTTTCAAAAAAAAAGAAAGCTTATAAGCTAAAAAGTTGAAAAGAGAAAAGCTGAGTAATCGGTTATCGGTAGATGAAGTGTTAAAAATATTTCTTATCTTTTTTTTCAATAATATTCTAATAAAATAGTATATATATATCTATTTGTAGTCCAAAATGTAGAACAGAATATGGAGAAGATGAAATTCCAAAAGTGTACAAATGTTTTTGCAAGAGAGTTGAAAATCCATCTAATCAAACGTGGATTATTCCGCATTCTTGTGGAGAAACTTGTGGGAAATATTTGGAACCTAGATGTGGACACAGATGTGTATTGTTATGTCATCCTGGACCATGTCCACCTTGTGCAAAAACGGTAATAATTAAATGTTATTGTGGAAAGCAGCCTGCCCGTCCATTGCGATGTAATATAAGTGGTTGGAGTTGTAATAACATATGCAATAAAAAATACGATCAATGTAACCATACTTGTAAAGAAATTTGCCACGCTGGAGATTGTCCACCATGTATGGAAATTCTACCAACGGATTGTCGTTGTAAAAGCAGCAGACAAATGAAAAATTGCAACGAAGTTACTTGGACTTGTAATAAGTCTTGTAATAGGTTATTGTCTTGCAAAATACATACCTGTGAAGGTATTTGTCATTCTATTAATGATTGTGGAGATTGTCCAAAGAAATTTAGAACTTGTCCCTGCGGTAAAAACCGATATACAGTTTCATGTAAGGAACAACAATTACTCAAATGTGGAAGCACTTGTGGAAAATTACTAAATTGTGGTTTACACTATTGCAACATGACGTGTCATTTTGAACAATGTGGTCAATGCTTGGAGATGGTCATGAAATCGTGTAGATGTGGGAATTTTACAAAAGAAATAGCTTGTGGGAAAGAATTCCACTGTAATAAAAAATGTACTCAAAGAAGACTTTGTGGAAGGCATCTATGCAATAAAAAATGTTGCGATTGTTTAGTAAAAAATACCTTTAATATATGTGAAAAAGTATGCAACACTCTTCTTAATTGTCAGAAACATAAATGTCCAGCAGCTTGTCATAGTGGACCTTGCTACCCATGCGCTCGTACTGATATAATTCAGTGCAAATGTGGTAATAAAAAGATAACAATACCTTGTGGAACCAAAAAAAAAATTAAGCCACCACCTTGTAATAAGCCATGTAAAATACCTTCTATTTGTATTCATCCGGAGAGAGAGATCCATAATTGTCATCAAGGTCCTTGCCCACCATGTAAAAAAATGTGTGGTTTAATTCATAAAAAATGTGGACATAAATGTTTAGCTGTTTGTCATAGTAAGGTTTGGGTCAAAACGAGCTTAAATAGTATAGAAGGACAGCCCAAAGGACCATGGGAAAAACAAAGATATATGATGGAATTAAAAACATTACCCTGTCCACCTTGTGAAGTTCCTATTAAAGTAGAATGTTTAGGTGGACACGAAACACGTATATTACCTTGCTATATCGCTAAAGCTGATTCTTGTGGAAGACCTTGTGGTCAATTACTAGAATGTACAAATCACACTTGTGAATTAATGTGCCATGCTGTAAAATTATCAGAAGGAATGAATAATAATAAACAATGTATGCAATGTGAAAGACCATGCTCTTTCACACGTCCCAAAGAATGTTTTCATAAGTGTTTAAAATCTTGTCATCCCGCACCATGTGACTTATGTCAACAATTAGTACGTGTTTCTTGCCATTGTGGCATCAGTACTTTATATAGACGTTGCATAGATTTGACATCCGCAACAGTCAAGCAACGTGAAGAGCTGTTCAAGTGTGGAAATCAATGCCCAAAAAATGTAATTATAAAAAATAGCTTCTATAAAAATAATAACAAGTTTAACTGTATTATACATATTTCTTTTGCAGTATCCATGTGGCCATCGGTGCAATGATATTTGTCATCCTGGATTATGTAAAAAGTCAAATAAATGTAATAAAAAAGTAAAACTATGGTGTAAATGTAAACGCATTAAAAAGGAATATGTTTGTTCTGTTATACAAGAAAAAAAAATTGTAGTTGAGTGTGATAGTGTTTGTCAGTCACTTATTAATGAAAAAGATAATGCTAATAAAATCAAAGAAATACAACGTAAACGCGAAGAAGAATTACGTAATCAGGAAGAAATCGAAAAATTCCAAAGGAAATTTAAACCACGACGAAAAGCAAAGGATAAATTGAAAAAAGAATTAGCGAATTCAAAAGAAGAAAATAGTAAAATATTCATATTGGTTTTGATATTGACCATTTTTATAGCTATCATAAGTATTATAGTAATCTATGCTAACCTAAGTTAATTTAATACAGAAATCGTTGAAATTAGTAACAAAGATTAAAATTAATTTTTATGATTATATAATTTTTATCGATAATAAATGACTGCATTGTATATAATACATTTTACTATATCCAAAGTTAAGCTATAAAAATATCCACAGATAATAGATTTATAATATATAATTAATTTTTTTATTTTAATTAATTTTTGTATCTACACACTGTTTGCATTTTTATTATAAAAATATTATTATTATTATTAACTTTCTTTTATATACATTAATATATTGATCATTATTAATAAAAAGTACCAAAGGTTCAAACAGTATAGAAAGAGACGTGTATTTAAAATAGAAACAATATACACACATTTTATAAATAGAATTACGTTATGATTATAAATTGTAATAATCTTTTAATCCTCCTAATAAGAGTTTCTATAAAATTACGGTCTACTGTTGAATATTCATTATGTATATCCATTAATTGCGTAATGAAACTATCCGTAAATATAGAAACAAGTCCTTGTTTTAATTCTGTTATGATTTCTGGTGATATCTTTTTATCCAATATATTATCAATTATATTTCCTGTGGATGCTATAAAAAAAATTATACAGATCAAATATTACTTTAATCAATGTATACTTATTAATATACCATTGATGTTACTTATCAATTATAAAGCAATGAATTACACACATACCTTGCATTCTCTGATATCCTGATATTATTTGCATTGTATAAAAATCTAAATGACTCCATAGCAGATATAAACTATGTTCTATTATAAGGCAACAATATTTTATACTCTGATGTTTTTCCTTCAGTCGTTGATCAATTCGTTGCTCTAAGACAATGCGCTGTTTATCTATATCTAATTCTGCTTCTTCATCAGTCATATACTAAAAAAAAATAATAAACATAATTATTACAAAATGACATCTCTCTCTTTCTGCGATTCTATTAATTCGATATAGTTATTCATTTATAATATATATTACTTTTTTTAATTCTGTAGCAGTCATGTCTG